CTGTCGTTAACTCCTGTTGCTTCACCATCAGGGCTCACCTCAAGCACTCAAGGGAGTGCTTGTTGGAGTTTCCAGACTGGATAAAGCCCTTATCTGCTCTTGTAACAGCAGTACTCCTCTTCACCTTGTTAATCGTATTGGCCATTTGCTTACTGTGTCGTCTCCAGTTCTTAGCCTTTGCTGTGTTTGTAATTCCATGTTGATGGAATGACAGAGAACACTGGATTGTGGTTTGAAAAGTGAAAAGGATTTCATAAAAATATAGCAGGATGTTAGTGCTTAGAAGTCAGAAAGACTGTGTGTGTGGATTGGTATAAAATAGTCAAGTAGAAGAAATGACAGTTAAAATATAAAAATAGGAAACAGCTGTAATAATAGTGGCTACCATTTACTGGACTCTTAATAATGGACCCGACACTGTACTGAGCTCCGCATATGTCATCTTATGTACCCTCAGCCCAAGGAGTTATTCCTGTCGAGGTTCAGAGAGATTGGGTACTGTGTTCCAGTCCTAGGTGAGGGGCTCTGTATTCTAACACAAATCTCTGTGATTCCAACACTTAGACTAGAAACCAGACTGAAATACTTACCTTGATAGTTCAAGTCCTAGGAAATTGTGTTTTGAGTTGGGGCCAGGGTCAGGTGGAAGAATGCTCAGAGGTGTTATGTAGGTCTATAGAGAGTTGTATTATTTGTTGTTTTAGCTCCAGGGAGAATAGAAGGAGAAAACCTTCTGAGGCTTTTAGACAAGGCAGTGCAGAAAGAAATGGTGTTTGATGACGCACCCAGGCCAGAGGAGTAAGAAGCAGCGGCTGCACCCTGCTGTCTTAGTGGCCACAAACTAGTGCTTGAAAGGAAGGAGTGTGAGACAGATTTTGAGAGATGTATGGACAGGATTGTTTAACGATGAGCTGTGGAGGCGAAAGATTTTCCCACTATCTCCTGGCTCATTTGCTCTGTGCCCGTTACCCATACTCACTGCTATGACCACAAACTATATCCATGATGGAGATTATCATACCCCTCCTTGGGGGTCTGTTCTTTGGAAGGAAAGGTAGATAAGTTTAGGAAAAGTAATTTTGTTAGTTCTAGGTAGGATCTCAGTTAACTCTGCCTGTCTGGCTAGCATATACTGTGCTGTTTTTCTACTTCCTGGTAGATATTTATTTCTGTCTAATTAATTGAATTGTAATTGAGTTTATTAGATAATAAAGTAACTGAGGAAATTCGGACTTTTTGCACATTTTAAGTATTAGATGTTGAGGGTGGAAGATTGTGTGTATGTTTGTGTGTACCTGTTTTTGTTCTCTTGCCTTTGAGAGGATCATTGGAGTTTGTGTTAAACTTTGTTATTTATTTACATATTTATTTAGCTGGTTCTGAGGCTTGAACTCAGAGCGTGGGTCCTGTTCCTGAGCTGCTTTTGCTCAAGACTAGTGCTCTACCACTTCATCCACAGCTTTCTCTAAATGGTTTGTTGGAGATAAAAAGTCTTGTGAATTTTCCTGCCTGGGCTGGCTTTGAACTGTGGTCTCAAATCTCAGCTTCTGGAGTAGCTAGGATTATAGGTATAAATCACCAGTGCTCAGCTTCCTTTTTTAAATTTAAATTTCATTTTTTTACTGGTCATGAGACTTGAACTCAGGGCCTGGACATTGTCCCTAAGCTTCTTTTGCTCAAGGCTAGCACTCTACCACTTGACCACAGCACTTTTTTTTTTTTTTTAATTTAGATGGTACTGAGGAATTGAACTCAGGGCTTCAAGCATGCTAGGCAAACCACTAAGCCATGTTCCCAGCCCTCTTTTTATTTTTTTTTGTGTGAGAAGGAACTTAAGCAATTTCTAAATTACCATCAAAATGTTTTCACTTTATTGATGAAATATTTTATTGAAATTTAAAGTTTGCTTTGAAAGTGATCCAAAAATAGGATAATTCTCTGAACTCCAAGGTAAATGTGAGATTGATGAATCCATTTGGAATGTACCACAAGTATTAAAGGTTTGATTTTTCTATCAGTAAGAAATGTGAAGGAGCGTGAACCTTCTGCGTTAATGTGGGCTTTTGGTTTTGTTTCTCTGTAGGTGTCTGTCTGGGAATGTAGCTCCATGGCACAGTGCTAGCCTCGAGGAAAAGCAGCTCAGGGACAGAGCCTGGGCCCCGAGTTCAAGTCCCAGGACTGGAAAAAATGGCCTTAAAGCTGGTCTTTTAGTTGAAGTGGTTGTCAGGCGTTCTCTTTCTCAGTGTTGTGGCTGTCTTGTTGGCACTAAGTCTGTTACACCAGCAACGTCTGTGTGGCGTCCATGGGCAGAGGTGGCCAGACAGGACGACTGCCAGTCTGCTCTCACCTCCCACTGCCTCTTGGCTGAATATTTTGGTCTCACACAGTGTGTACAATTTTTTTTTTGCCCTAAATGCTGTTGGAAGAAATACATCTCAGAATTCATGGCTATCTCTTTCTCCTGCTGTTATTAGAAATGCTTTCCCCTCCTGTACAATGGAAAAAGTGAACCTTCCTAAAGAGTCCTTTCAATGGGAAAAGTTCAAACCTGCTGATGTGATCTATTCTAGAATAGATCCTGCTGGCGGCTGTGTGCCCTCAGGTCTTACCTGTGCACATGTGCAGAGCAGCTGGCAGATGGTTCTGTTGTAAGAACTGTGGGCCAGGGAAGACCCATGGCAGAAGAGGGTTAAACTTCTGTAAGGAAAGCCCTTGTAAGAACGTTAGTGCTTGATTCTCTTTTATTTTGAAAAAGACTTGAATAGGTTCAAGGCTAGTGCAATAGGAAGGTATTTGTGGGTTTTTTGATTTTGTTTTTTTGTTTCCTTCAGATTTGGCTTGGGGGTTTTAGAATCATGCTTATTCCCAATCTAGAATTTCTCTTTTCCTGTTTACCTAATTAGACTTGGCAAAGAACTGTAGAGCAGTGTTATAAAAATTGGTTGTTTGGACTCATGACACACACAGTTTTTGTTCTGAATCTCTTAAATCTGCATGATGCTGTTAAGAATCTGTGCCCTGAGCCAATGTCAAATTGATATCTATAGATACCTTCAGGTTGGAGAGAATGCTTTTCCTCTAAACAGTACTTTATGGGCGCTTCAACCGGAAGCTGAAGAATGCCGCCTAAACCAGCAGTAGTGAACACTGGAATTTGAAGCTTCTTTGTTTTTAATGATTTTTTAAATTATCTTTAAGTCAAACAAAGGAATTATTTCACAAATCAGTTTATGAGTTCAGTGCATTTTGAGAGGTGTTATTCTTTTGAAGGTAATTCTTAACTCAGTTTATTCGTTGCAAAAACTTTTGGGAATAGACTAGCAGGGTGATACACTTAGATTTAATCTTCTTTTATTAAAGTAGGCAGCTAACTGACAGTGGTTAGTAGTCAAGTGAAGTGAGTAGTAAAAGAGCGTGCTCAGTTTAGAGTAGCAGAACTGCGTAGAGTTAACTGATCCTGAAAGTCTCACCCACTTCCTCTTGATTAAGTTACAGCACATTTTTAGTAAAAACATATGCTGTTACTTGATTAATGTTTCCTGTAATAATTTCTACTGGTAAATTAAAAATAAAGGCACATTTAATTTTTTTGTCATATTACCTTCATAATCTATTTGTATCTCTACTTCCTACCACCTCAGGCTAAGCAAATTGACTCAGTATATTTGCTTTATTTAAACTGATTGAATGAAACCTTCTTGACTTAAAAATATGCATTATATAGTTATGTCTTACATTTTTGAATAATTAATTTGAAAAATGCAGGAGCAGATTGAGATGTCTTCTTCTGTGTGAGACAATTAATCTCTGTGCAGATCATGATTTCAGTGACCTTCTCTGCTGCGAGGAGACTTTGTTACCCACAGAGCTGCATTTCCTATTGTGGGGTCTTTGAAAGCCTGCCAAAGCAGCAGCCTGCCAAGTTACTAGTAAGAGCACACATCATTAAGTCACATGGCTTGTCTCCAGCAGATCTCATTCTCATCCAAGGTGACCTTTGCAGACCGGTCAGGTGTTTAAATGCCATAGCAGTTTTGATTAGTTGCTTTTCCCCCTTTCATGTTAACACACACCTCAGTTACTTATGAAGAATAAGTGTGTTCATATTTTTGCTCTGCGTGACCATTAGTCCAGCTGTCACTAACACCATTTCTTGAGGGGAGCAGAAGTTTTCCTCATTTCCTCCAACTCATTGCCCATGTTTTTTTTTCTTTTCCAGTCTGTATTTTAGGGATTCTGATTTAGTACCATAAATCAGGGATAATCTGGTCTCAGGGATAATCTGGTCAGGACAAGGAAGAGATTCTCTCTCTCTCTCTCTCTCTCTGTATACATACATATAATTATGTATATATATGCATATTTATATACACATATATACACATACATATACATATACATACATACATACATACATACATACATACATATACACACACACCTACCTTCCTACCTACCTACCTATCTCCATATATGTGTGGCTAGACTGTCTTTGGTGTGCTGTGAGCCTGTAAGAGTTTCCTTGATCTATCCAGTACCACAGTCTGAGAGCTTTTTAAGGCAATCTTGATGTTGTACTTAAATATTTTTAGACAACATTTCATCTAGTGTTTGTTATTTAGTGGCATTGAAATTTCTCCTGGTCTATGTTTTAGAAGATAGTATTTCATTTCCATGTGCCTGGCTTGATTTTGTGAGTAGGTATGTGTGTTGGGAATGTAATCTTTTTTTTTTTTTTTTTGGGTCCAGTCGTGGGGCCTGAACTCTGGGCCTGGGCGCTGTCCCTCAGCTCTTCAGCTCAAGGCTAGTGCTCTACCTACGACTTGAGCCACAGCACCACTTCCGGCTTTTTCTGTATATGTGATGCTGAGGAATTGAACCCAGGGCTTCATGCATGCTAGCCAAGCACTCTACCCCTGAGCCACCTTCCCAGCCCCATCATTTTGGTTTTCTTGTTCTGGTTCCACACTCATAGAGCAGGTGACAGGCTGGAGTAACAAATGACCTGTGCCATACACCAAGTCAGTGCTTTGTTAGTGTATGCCACATCTCTTTCTGTTGATTTCTGAACTTTAGCTTCTGCAAAGAAGAAACAGACTCAGACTCAGCTGTTATTCAGGCCGCAATGTTGGATTAAGTGGAAGCTTTCCATCCTCTGCTTACTCAATACCTTCTCTTGAATAGGATGAGCTCACAGCTGTGAATGTGAAACAAGGCTTCAACAACCAGCCAGCCTTCACTGGAGATGAGCATGGCTCTGCCAGGAACATTGTCATTAACCCATCAAAGGTAAGATTGTTCCCTAGAATTCTGAATGCTTGTGCTATCCTCCATGGTGAATGCGGATAACTTGCAAGTTCAAACCTCTTTTCTGTGGGTTGCCCCTGGTGTAGCCAGGGTTTGTGTCTGACACTGTTAGGTTATTTCAGTCTAGAGAGCGTCCTGTGCAACTTGCTGTGTTTCTAAAAGGCTTTCATGCCTGCCCTTGTAGCATAGTCTAGCCAGTTGCCAGGCACTGCAGTTCCACATACTAGACTTCTTTTGGTGGTTCTGGGATTAAACTCCCAGCCCATTCCATGTTGGGGAAGCACTCCTTCTCTGAGCTACAGCCCCACCTTTGTGAGGCTTTTCTATGGCTGTCCTGTCTCTGTCATTACATGGTATTTTCAGTTTTGTGTGTGTCTTCCTTCTCCTATCAAAGAGAACTTCATGTTGGTTAGTGCTTGGGCCTTAAGATCTCCGTTCACCTTAAGCCAAATCAGAAGCCTGGTGTTGAAATGCAGTCACCTGAGTGTCAGACTCCGGGGAGCACCTTCGGGAGTTATTCACACAATTGGTCATGCTAGAAACTACAGCTGCTTTCTGTCTGTCTGTCTGTCTGTCTGTCTGTCTGTCTCTGCCTGCCTGCCTGCCTGCCGGCCTGGCGATCAGTCAGTCTTTTTTTTTGTCAGTCATGAGACTTGAACTCAGGGGCTAGGTGCTGTCTCTGAGCTTTTTTTGCGCAAGGCTGCCACTCTGAGCCACAGCACCACTTCTGGTTTTCTAGTGGTTAATTGAAGATAAGAGTTTCATGGACTTTCCTACTCTAGCCGGCTTACTCAGCCTCCTGAGTAACTAGGATTACAGGTGTGAGTCACCGGCCTCAGCCTGATGCTTTATCTCTTGATGTGAACTGTTAATCATCCTTGGTTTTCAATGTCGTTTTATGTCAAATTAAATAACTTAATAAACAGAAACAGCATTTACAACAGTTTCTATCAAGTTTTCTTTGAGATTTACTCAAGGATTCAAGTCTTCTAAGGGAATTGGACTTTATACATATGAAACCTATGAATGATGGTATGACTCCTAATTAGGCTTTTCCATATTCTTACCAGATAAAATACGTTCCAAATAGCTTTGGATGGATGAAAACGAGTACTAAATGTACTTGTTTGAAAGTTAGAGTAGACGTGGTGGTGCATGAGTCTAATTCCACCTACTCATGGAAGCAACCTGGGCAAAGTTAGTGAAATGTTACCTCAAACAAAAAACAAGAAACTAAAAAGGCTTGAGGTGTAGCTCAAGTGGGGTGCTTTGAGTTCAGTTTCCAGGCCCCCCCGCCCCCCCTCCCAGTCTGTCTTACACACACAACACTCTCTTTTAGAAGACGGTTTGGCAGTGCTATTGAAATCTCTGCATTGTGGAATTGGAGGTCTAGAAATCTACCTTAAAGCTGTCTGAAGCACAACAGATGTGAAGGGCTATTTGTTTTAATGTTATTCACAGTAGGACAATTTTGGAACAGAAGCTCCAAATGTTCCTTAACAGTAGCTTAAGTGAAAGATGATATAGCCATATTATAGTATGTAACTTTGTGTTATGAAAAATGAAGTTAGCTATATGTAGACATGGAAAGCTCAGACTGTGAGTGTTCATGAGCTATGTACATAAAAAAGAAAATATGATGATAGATACTTCTTGTTCTTGTTAATAATTGCATACTTGTTTGCCTTGTTTTATTCTTTAGAATGTGCTATTTTATACATTATGATATAAACCTGAGTTATCTGTCTGTGCCAGTTAATGCATGAATAAATAATAAATGAATAAACACCATGTTCTCAAAATTAAGCCATAAATTAAACCAGATAAAATATGTCTAAATGTTAATGTGTGGAAAAAACTTTAAATGTTACTGAGTTATGGTAATGCTTACCTGCATTACTTGGGAGGTTGAGGGAAGAGGACCTTTGAGTTTGAGGCCAGCATGGTCTACAAAGCAAGACACTGTCTCCAGAGGCAAAGTGAGTTCATTCAATATTATAAACATGTTTAGATTTTTTGAGTCCCAATTGTATTTTCTTCTTTTGCTTGAGAATTTTGATTATAGTCTACATTTGTTTAAAAGCTTTCCTAGCAGGGAGCAAAATATGGGTAGTCATTCTAATCCATTGCTGTCATTCAGAAAAAAGCACAATTGATTGTTTAGACTATGATTTTTTTTATTTCTATGCCTTTATTATCATTAAATTGCTCAGTTATATTGCAAATGTGAGACCTTTCAAATATCAAACAATCTGTGTTTCTAGGTGTGCTTAGTGCAGAGAGCAGATACCAGTTGAAAATTTTTAAATCAAACAATTAGTTGTTTGTCCCTGCTTATTTACAACACTTAATTTACTCACTAGAAGTTTTGCAAATATTTGCTTGAAACATAAAAACTGCAATGAAGTTGTTTCGTTTTTAAAAAAGAGTATCTCCATCTTTTCCCTACTTACTCTAGCTTTTATTAGATCAACAATCCAAGACAAACTTTTAAATTACATATCAATTACAAGAAGTAGGGAATGCAACACACATTAAAACAAGTTGTGGTCAGGTGCCAGAAATTCACACCTGTAATCCTAGATACTCAGGAAGCTGAGATCTGAGGACCACAGTTCAAAGCCAGCCTGGGCAGTAAAGCCAGTGAGATTCTTTTTTTTTTGGCTGGTCCTGGAGCTTGAACTCAGGGCCTGGGCACTGTCCTTGAGCCTCTCTGCTCAAGGACAGTGCTCTACCCCTTGAACCACAACACCACTTCGAGATTTTTCTGTTTATGTGGTACTGAGGAATTGAACCCAGGGCTTCATGCATGCTAGGCAAGCACTCTACCACTGAGCCACCTTCCTAGCCCTGCCAGTGAGATTCTTATATCTAGTTAACTACCAAAAAAGTTGGAAGTGGAGTTGTGACTGAAGTGGTAAAGTGCTAGCCTTGAGCACAAATGCTCAGGGACAGTTCCCAGACTCAGAGTTAAAGTCCCAGGACTGATGGGCACATACACAAAAAGAAATTATGCCAATGTTTCATCTTGGGAGATAAACTTGGCTAATGGCTTATAACTGATCACAGTGTAGAGAACAAGCTGTTGTGACCACATAACTGTTAACTAAGATGTGATTGCTTCCCCAAGACATAGTTTCTTTTTTCCCCTCCCTCCCTCCTTAACCCCCCTCCCTCCCTTCCCTTCCCTTCCCTTCCTTTCCCTTCCCTTCCCTGCCCTGCCCTTCCCTTCCCTCCCCTCCCCTCTCCTTCCCTCCCCTTCCCTTCCCTCCCCTCCCTCCCTCCCTTCCCCTCCCTCCCTCCCTCATGCACTCTCTCTCTCTCTCTTTCTCTTTCTTTTCTTTTTGGGTCCAGTCGTGGGGCCTGAACTCTGGGCCTGGGCACTGTCCCTCAGCTACCACTTGAGCCACAGCTCCACTTCTGGCTTTTTTTTCTGCTTATGTGGTGCTGAGGAATCAAACCCAGGGCCTCAAGCATGCAAGGGCGAGCGCTCTGCTACTGAGCCACCTTCCCAGCCCCTTGTTTCTTTTTCATAGTTGCTACTGTTTGCTAACCCTGTGGTTGTTTGTATCATATTATTTAAATTCTATGAGAATGAAATGTAATGCATTTATAAGATTCTTGAAGGTTTCAAGCAGTGTTTTTTTTTAAATAGATGTACTATTTAGATGATACTTTATTCCTTGCCTTCTTTGTCTTCTTTGCTATTGTCCTTTTCTCCACCCTTTGTCCGTGTTATAATTTGGATAATGCGAAAATGATAAAATAGTTTACAATGCTTTCTCTGAGGTCTTGTTAGCTTTACAGAGCAGTCCTACCTCTGTGGATGGAAATCCTTGTACTCAGAGATTGACAACCCAAGTACAAATGTTAAGCAACTAATTTAATTGTACCTTTTGTAATTTTCCATTACAATAAATACTCTCCAAAAACTTCCCTAAGTATAAGTACAGAATTTCATTTCCAAAAATATGTGCTATTGAAATGCAACACGAATGATTACCGTCTGGCTGGGCTGTCTCCATTGGTACGCACCACCTTGCAGGGAAATTGTTTTTCCCAGTTTGGTGTGTAGGGAGAAAGTATCCCTGAAGGTAGAGGCAGAACTCATTCCTTGCAATGTATTTAAGAGTGTTACTCATTTCTTCTTACCAGAAATATCTGAAGACTGCTCTTCTTTCCTTGGCTTCTTGTTAAGAGTAAACAGAGGTGCTGTGTGACTTTTTGCCTAGTGTTAGAGTGTGGCGATCACACTGCTTGGCTTCAAGGACTAAAATATATAGTACTGAGATACTTGCTTATTGTCTTTAACCTTTCTCTTTTCTTGTTTCCCTCTTCTTTCTACAGATTGGAGCTTATTTTAGCAGCATATTAGCTGAGAAACTAAAGCTTAACACTTTTCAAGATACTGGAAAGAAGAAACCCCAAGTTAATGCTAAAGATAATTACTGGCTTGTAACAGCTCGATCTCAGACTGCAATTCATAGTTGGTTCTCTGACTTAGCAGGAAATAAACCACTTGCTATTTTGGCAAAAAAGGTATCAAACACTTCTTACATTATTATAATTATAGTTTTATAAGCTTGAGCTGTTTGCGTATATATTGGAGTGTTTGAGTATATATTATTTTCCCTAGTCCTCTCTAAAGCTGAGGCTCAAATTGCAGGTATACAATACAAGATGTGTCTGCCTTGTGCTCTTTGTTGATTTGTTGTGCTCAGGACCTCTGTGAATGAATCCAAGTGGTCCATACAGCCAGCAGTTTCTGTAGATTCTAGATACACAAGATTTTAAAAAGAGATTTAAAAAGAATCAGCAATAAGACTTTTTTCTTTTATATTTTTAGCTTCCTTAGGTCAGTATGTCCAAGATGTGATAAAAAGATCCTTTGCTTTGAGGTTATTTCCTTGTCTTTTAAAAATACCCATCCAAATGCTTAAAGCGAAGTCTGCTTCCTACAAAATGAAATAAGATTTTGACTTTACGTGTGCTTGCTTTTATGAAAAAGCTTTGAACAAAATGTACAGATTTCTTCATAGTTGCCAGCCTTCTTTTTGGAGGGGGCAGTATGTATGTCAGGAGGTTCTTTTACAATCTTTGCCTTTGATTTTTTTCCTTCTTGGAGTATAATTAATATACAGGTCAAAAAATTTTACAGTTCAAACATCACCAATTGAGAAGTTAGAAATCTGCCTCATAGTCTGTATCTCTGCCTTGTTGCACACCTTTGCATGGTCTTTTTTCTCATGTTCTCTGATGCCCTTTGTTGTTAGGGGCTCTTGGTTTTGCTTCTTAGTAGTAAGAGCTCATTTCCAGCTGTTATAGGCTCACTTTGGAGGCTCCTTTGCTTGTTTGTTTTCTAAAGTAACTCAGAATATAGTGCCCAATCTTTTCTTGGCTTTATATTGCCTCTATAATCTTAGCTAATCAGGAGGCTGAGATCTGAGAATTGCTGTTGAAAGCCAGCCCAGGCAGGAAAGTATGCCAGACTCTTATCTCCAACTAACCACTCTAAAACTGTAAGTGGAGCTGTGGCTCAAAGTGGTAGAGACACTAGCCTTGAGAAAAGAAGCTCAGGGACAGCGCCCAGGCCCTGAGCTCAAGCCCCATCACTGGGTGGGGGAAATCTCTATCTCTATCTATCTCTAGCTCTCTATCTAGTTCCCTACTATCATAACATTGGATAGATTCTAGTGGCTAAAGGCAACTGAAGTCATTGAAAAGCACAAGACCTGGCATCGCACAGTGCTACTATTTCCATTCAGCTAAGCAACGTAACACTTCTTCGCCAGGAGTGAACACTTACTTTGTAGTCCCGTTGATTGTACCTAAAGCTCATGTAAATGATAGGACACCTTTTAGTGTTTTATGGGTTTTAACTACAGTTCATATTCTTTGTTCTGCCAACCTGGTATCTTTTTAGATTTTCCTTTATTATAAACATTTAGAGTATATTTTTGGATGTTTCCCTAAAGTGAATATTGATGTGGGGCTTACGCCTCTGTTCTAGAGGTGTAGGGGTCTCATCTTTAGGAGATGGATCATGGTGCAGTGTATTAGCTACTGTTCTGTCCTTTCTTTATTAGCAGCTGCCTCTGGCCAAGTCAGGTGTTCCTTAGGTAAGCTCTGACATTAATTCCTTGCAAACGTAGATACTTATTTGTGGAAGCATTGAATATACCTTGAAATACTCTTGTCTTGGGCATTTCCAGACCTCTTCTCCTCAGCATTTCATCAACTGAAGGTGGTTAAAGCTCTTTCAGAGCTGGATGGGAAAAGGATTATATACTCTTGAGTATTCTTCATCTGAAGGTATTGATCTGTGAGATAGCTTAAGTCAGGTAAACCCATGATCCTGAGTCATCTTTGAGTTCTTATCTAGACATTGAGTACTTTGCTGAGTGGGGGTGGGCCATGATTCTTATTTTGTGTTACATAAAGCCCACGGGCCTGTGAAGGATATTTCCTTCATCACAGGCTTGGCTAGGGGAGAATGGAAATTCCTGCAACCGGAGGGGTTTTTGTACCTCTTGCAAAGTTACTCCTGGTGCCTTGTTTATTGCCCTGTGGCTGCTTGGGTCATGGGCTTCCTTTGCCTGTGCCTGGCTTAGCCATTCGGAGATGCTAATGGTTAGTGCGTTCCAGGGGCAGCCCCTTGGTTGGTGGAAAGCCACACACACATCAGGCATCGTCACTTTGTGTTGGTTCTTCGATGCGACTCTGGATTGCTGAGTCAGCTAGAAGTTAAGTCAGATGGTTGTTTCACTAAAAACACGAAAGGCTTCTTTGTAAGGAAATCCAAGTGAAAGGATCACTTCTTTTCCTAGTTTGCCAAAACTGCAGATTTGACATCTTTGATAGGTGTCTTCTTCCTTGATTCAGTAACTTCTTTCATATGTGTGTTCTTACAGCTTCGGAAGCCTTTGACTTGAGTCCGCCAATTCTCTTAGGGCTCTGCCAGCAGGAAGGTTAATGGGCTCATTTTAAAAATTGCTTCCTCATTTCACATGCTCCCATGTTTCACCTTCCTGACAGTTGCTACTCAAAAGAGATGTGGGCAGCCAGGAAAGGTAGTTAGTGGTATTTTGCATTTGCCTTGATGCTTTAACCTTTTGTTATATCTCGATGGGATTTAACCTGACTTGTACCATACTGTATGTTCCAGTGAAGAGCAGCTGCTTTGGCCTTGAGCTGAATATTTAGCCCTGCACTTTTTCCTGGCTTAAGTGGAAGTAAACCTAGTGCCTTGTGCAGCGGCATGAAAGTTAGCTGCTTTTATAAACTAAAACTTCCGTCACTGTCTTCTGCAGAGAGCAGGCCCATGAGACTTTTGTTTTCCTTTTAGTTGTGTTGTGCAGTGCAGTTGCCTGTTGCAGGTGGTGTGCTCTGATGTTCACACCCGAGAGAGGACTGCAGTGACCCGAGAAGTCCCTCCTGTTGCCCATAGAATACAGTGCGTGGACACATGGCCATCGGTCCAAAGCTGGGGGAAAAGAGAAGCAGCTTTTCTCTCTTCCTTCAGCTTTGGAACAGACTGATATCTTTCTGGTAAAATAGTTACATTGTTGACAATGTTATTAGGCACTTTGTTTTCAACACTGTTTTGTAGAATGGGAACTTCTTTGTACCACTACTTAAAGATGATAAAAAATTAAAAAAAGATTAAAAGACATTGATTAAAAAATAGTTACCTTGTCAAAAATAATTATCTTTTAATTCTATAATCATCTAGTACCAACTGTGTGAATAGTCAAATGTTGTAACAAATAGAGAAGTCTACAGTATAAATGAAGATTTGATGAGTCGTGCTATGTAAATCAGCTGGTTGGAGGCCTTTATTTTTCAGAACAAAATCAAGTTAAGAGTTTGAGGCCAAGAGATCGGGGTTCCTTCACAACCCCGCTTAAGGAGGGTTGGACCCATAGCTTAGAGGTGTTCTTCTGGCGTGAAGAACTCCTTGAAGCTCGCAGTAAAATAGCCCTTGCTATAACTTTGATACACCATTTGTTTTGCACGCCCTAGGTGAGTGGGCTTGGTATTCCCAGAATTCATAAATGAAGTCGGAGCAGTGCCTGGGAGAGGCCTGTGTCCTGGGGGTTGGTCCTTGACGACTTCATGGTGCCTCACAGCTGGTGGTTTCTCCACATTCCTAAATCGAGTAGATTATCTAGATGTTTAGGCTCTTCCTACCCTATTTATGAGGCATTGTGGAAGAATGAATCAACAGTTTTAAACCATTCAGTGGTACATTGGGATACTAATTTGTTAAATTCCACCTTTGTGGTCTGGAAGAAAAAATTGTCTCAAGTGCCTACTTGAAGAACCAGCAAATTAATTACTTGGCTATTTCTAGCTCGGTGTTTTTTGTGTTTGGTCAGATTCACTGATCCTTCATCTTAGCCTCTATTTTAAATTTTGGGCCAATGGCACTTTTGAGAAGCTTTCTGGAAATGGTTACTCTAATGAATGTTGCAGTTAGGGGAAAAAAAGTGTTCATGGATAAGACATAGAATAGAGACAATTTTTCACTTGATATGTCCTTTCCAGTTTTGAGATACATTGTTTGGAAGACTGTCATAAAATTATTTTTTTTCTCCTCTGTTGATGAGTAGCTTTTAGCATTGAAGAACTTGAAGATAATTTGTTCTATAAGTAAGACAGCACAGCTGATGAAACTGTTTGCCATTGTATTAATGATAACTGGCTTAAAGTATTTCATTAAAAATAATGTTTGGGGCTGGGAATGTGGCTTGGTGGTGGAGTACTTGCTTAGCATGCATGAAGCCCTGGGTTCGATTCCTCAGTACCACCTACACAGAAAAAGCCAGAAGTGATGCTGTGGCTCAAGTGGTAGAGTAGTGCTAGCCTTGAGCTGAAGAGCTGAGGGACAGTGCCCAGGCCCAGAGTTCAGGCCCCATGACCAAAAGAAAAAAAATACTGTTCAAATATCTGTCCAATGTGTGCTTTCTTGTAGTAACGTCCAGCCTTTTTTCTCTTGCTTCCCTTCTCTCTTAAGTTTGTTAGTCATAGCATGTGATGGTTATAAATGTTATTTCTTTACAGGTTCCCATTCTTAGTAAAAAAGAAGATGTTTTCGCATATCTAGCTAAGTATTCTGTGCCAATGGTTCGAGCAATGTGGCTGATCAAGATGACCTGTGCCTATTATTGTGCTATTTCTGAAGCTAAGATTAAGAAACGTCAGCCTACTGATCCAAATTTGGGTAAGTGATTCTCTATTTTTTTCCTTTACCTTTCTCCTTTCCCTTTCTTCCTTGACAGGATGTTATTATGAAGCCCTGGTTGGCCTATAACTCAAGTTAGACTCTCAAGTTCTTGGTTAACAGGCCTGTTACACTACTCCTGATTTCTTTATTTTATTTGGGTTTTGTTAAAAGACTTAATCCCTAAGCAGTTGTTCAAAGACACTTCAATTCAGCATGCCAATTTATGAATATAATACATTTTGATCAGTGTTCTTTTCCTGTATTTTAAAATACATATTTAAGTATATGACAAGGTCGCGTTTTTGGCTATCCAATCTTGCTTTACTATCATTTTGTTATGCCTGGGTATCTCTTGTTCTCTCTGCTGTCTTCAGCACTTTCTTCAGCATAGCCATAAAGTACCAAGTACAAGCAAGTGCATGCATATAGATGCATCGAGTAGCTTGAAGTTGTATACAATGCAGATTAACTTAATTAGGTTTTGTGTTCTGGCTTTGTTCTGCATATTTGGGGTGGGATTGACTATAAAGTGTAACCTCTCCTAGTGTTGGTTTTGATGTCTTCCTTGTCTTGATGGCTGTTCTTAGGATTTGTGAGATGTTTTTAGTAATGATGGCTTTTATTCCTTTGTAATGGAAACATATGTTTTATTTTCAGTTGCTGTGTTTAGCTCAGTTTTGGAACATAGTTATCAAGCGCTGTTGTTTGATTTTATTGAAGGAATTTTTATCTAAAGTTAAGTGGGATAATAGCAACAAAGAACACATAGACTTCAGTGTCTTCCTGTAGAGTGACTGGTCTAAAATGTAGGGTAAGTGGATTGATGCCCTGGGGCGTGAGCAGCCCGCTGGGATGAACTCAAGCACTGTGTGTTGGACAGCTGGCAGCACAGAGGGCCTTGGGTCTGTGGGTGAAGTCCCATGTGCAGTTTCAAGGGGGAAAGGGAGTGAGCTGTTTGTTTTTGACAAATCTGAACATCAGAGTAGAAATTTCAGGAAGAGATAGAGCAGGGAAGCTCTATAGAAGATTTGTAATCCATAGTCCAAAGGAGACCTAAAATAGAAGATTTATAGCCCATAGTCCAAATGAGCCCTGAAATAGAAGCAGTTCATAGGTTCTTTTGATTTTAGGAGATACTATCAAATTTGCAAGTGATGCTTGCTAGTTGAGGTAACATACTGGAAATAATATGTATTTGGTTTTGGATATCTACAGAGTTGAACTAATAAGTATTGCTTTTAAAGGAACAAGAATGTCTACGTGTTTTACATGTTTTGGACTCTAACAGAACAATGCATTTCAAGCAGGCTGGGTAATATAACAATGGAACACCCAAACTTCCATTGAGTGATTAAAGTCTTTATAAACGGATTAGGAAATAGGACTTTACCGTTCATAACAGAACTTTGTACACTTATTTGTGGGAATTTATCCTGGGAGAAGACTATTGCTGAACTGAGTAATATAATTGAAAGTGTTTTTTACTGTCACAGTTACCTTAGGGAATCTTGGATGTGTGCCCAACAGGTGCTCACTGCATGCCTGTGTTGTGTGTGCCAGGGACGAGATGTGAGTTCCTCCAGTCAGCTTCCGTCTGCAGTTGCCTGTCCCCTGTGCCATGCTGAGGCTGGATCAGCTGGTTTGTGTAAGGGTGTTTGTTCCTTCACAGGTCTTGTGGCCTGTTGATTCTCTGCCATGTCACTGTGGCACAGTGGCATCATGGTTCCCTTCTCAGTGAACATTTGCTAGGCTCTGCACACATGCTGTCCACTTTCTTACTTTTTTGGGTGCTCTATGAGATAGCTGCTTGTTTCTGATTTCACAGAGGGAGGATTTGCATGTGCAAGTGGTGCAGGCCTCAGCTTGCAGGTCCAACGTCCGCTCGAAAGCCTGAACCTGGATGCATGGTTGGTGGGGACCGGGGCGGCTGCAGACTCTGTCCTGTAGGTGTTTGCATGGAGGCTGCAGGTCCAGCTGATTGGAGAAGGACTTGAGATGCACGTACTGTTTCCCAAGGGAGACTCACAGAGGAAGTAACTTGGAGTTCAGTTTTGAAAGAAGATTTTGGGGTAAAATGTCAGGCCCCTGACTTCATTGCTCCTCTTGTGGTTCTCCATTTTTTCATGGTTGTAAACGTCCATGTGTACCTCTAGTATTTAGAGGAAAACGTTTTCTCCCTTTGAAAGCCCTCTGAAGGAGCTGGGTATCTAAGAAAATTATTGGAAGTGGGGGATGGAGGTCCATTGTGGACGTCCATTTCTGGATCCTGTTGGCAGGACAGCATGTCCAAGCAGTGCACCTCCAGTGAGTTCCCTGGGGACTCTGGAGGGTGTGGCTTGCAGAGCTGTTGCTTCAGAAAATGAAGCTTCTTGTCTGAGTTAGGTTTTCGTGGATAACACGTTCTGAGTTAGGTTTTAGTGGATAACACGTACCCATGGCCAAAACACACAGCATGCATGCGAAGTCGCTTCTCCACCACTTGGCTGCATCCCCTGACCCTGTGACCTCTTACCTGTCTTGCCTATCTTCTGAGGTCCATTTCATGTACGTTTAAAATAGTCCTTCAAAAGCTTGTACATTTTTACACTGTGTATCCACTAGCGTGTTCTTTTAATGATTCTAAACCCTTACCTTTATAAAATCTGGGTCTTTTTCTTCTTCCTGAACAGGTAGAGAATTTACAACAGCTGTATTTAGGACCTCTGGGGTACACTTGATCCTGTGACCATGTGGAATTACATTCTAGTGCAGAGTGGGAGACAAGCTATAGTTTATTTATCTATTTGTTGTGCAGGTCCTGGGGTTTGAACTCAGGGCCTATGTGCTGTCCCTGAACTTTTGTGATCAAGGCTAGTGCCCTCCCACTTGAGCCACAGCTCCATTTCTTTTAAGTGGTTAATTGGAGATAATAGTCTCATGGACTTTCCTTACTGGGCTGGCTTTGAACCGTGCTCCTCAGATCTTCATCTCCTGAATAGCCAGGATTATAGGTGTGAGCCACTGGCACTTGATGCAGGTTTATTTTTGTTCCACAGAAGATTGGGCTTCAAGAGACATCAGTGTAAAGCTTGCTTCTTCTCAGTTTCATTGCTGGGGTGGGGACTTGGTGGCAGACACTTGTCTGTGTTGCTCTCTCCTGCCTCACCAGACCCTCCGACCTGGTTCTTCCCCCCGCTTGAGGCGGGCCTGGTGCTGGCATTGCCCACACACCAGGGTGGCAGTGCAGAGAGAGTGCTCTGCGTACAGAGGAGCAAAGGGTGGGCTGGGCTCTGAGAGTACTGTCTCGCTAGAGGTGTCCTGTCCTGGGGCAGCAGAACCCCAGACTTGGTCTCAGGGTGGTGATGTAATTAACTATTCCTCTTGTAGTTTACATAAAAACACTGCCCTTACTATTCTGTGCTAGGAATATTTCACCATGCGATGGCTCAGATATCTACAGAAATCTGAAAAGATGGGAGAAACCCTGTGGCCATTACGTTAGTTGCACACCGTTTATGATCTCAGGCCTTGGCAGAGGTGAGGCCTCCAGGGCGCCCAGTGTCTCTCTCAGCTGGGGGGGGGGGGATGTGGTTGATAGAGAAAAAGGACTAGGAGATAAAAGCTTGAGCCTACGTTAGCATGTTCACACTAAAATAAGAACTAAAGCCCTAACAGAGAGGGGTCTCCATCCTCTCCAGAAGTTTCCAGGGGAGGTAGGCTGGGTAGAGCCAGGACTGTCCATCCCCCATGCCCCCATGAAGCTTTGTCCGCCGTGTGCTGAGGTGTGCTTCCTCCCC